CTGACAAATGAACCTGAGTGTTTTATAAACCGAGTTTAAGCATAGGATTCAGATAGACACAGTAATATTACTTGATTTTATCCATCTGCAGATCAGAGGGGAGCTGTTTTCTGCATATGTCAGTTAAAGCAACCTTACGAAAAGTTGCCTGTGGGTTTGTTTTTTTTTTTTTTTTTTTAAGGGTTTAAAAAGATGTAAAAAACAAAAGCCTTTATTTAATTTGGAAATAACTTTGCAATGCTTTGTACCAGAATTTAGACACCTTTTTATACTTGTTTGCATATAACCCTTGTAGAGGTGGGGGGTAGAGGCACTCCAAAGGTGGTTTCTGTAATTCCCGGAGTCCTACTTTAAAGATATGAGGTACTCCTCAAACATCTTGTGTTATAAAGGGGTATGTGGGATTATCTATGACGGTTCTTGTTTATCCACGTGGTACAGCTCTGAGGAAGTTGTTTTGATGTTCTGTAGCGTTGAAGACATCTTTCCTGTTCAAGTCTTATAAAATGTAACTACTATTGACCATTATGATTTCCAAACTTAGACTGTAGCATTGTAATCTACTGCTATTGTGGTAGTCTATCTACTGTATATATCTTTATCCAATATGAACTTTTTTCCGCACCCTCAGGTTCAGTGGGAAGCAGAGCCAGCCCCCAATAACCACTGTTCTAAGATGACACTCAGTCACGGCTTACTGGTTTTTGGGATACACTTCTCAGTGCTTGATCTGAATGTTGTTGCTCGCCAGGTAAGGGGTCCTAGTCTCTTGCTTTCAAAGAATATATAGGAACTTTGTAACATCCTTCATTATGACATTTTATGTATGGGTATTGGTTAATAAGTGACCTCTACAGGAAGATCACCTGGCTGACCTTCAGGAACTTCACACTTTAACAAGATGTGGTGGGAGATTTTGACGGGAGGTCCTCTTTAAACTATATTTCAACACGTGTCCCGTGTAATAAACATCATTGCTGTTTACATTGCGTATTGTGGCAGTTCATCAGGCTCCCCCTGCTCATCATTTTACCCCATGTTTTCTCTCTGCAGGTCGGACCTGGAGTAGTCATGTTGACCTTTAAACATTCCTTCTTGGGCCAAGGCATGATTCTGCATTGTGTCACCCCAGTGGAGCCTCTCCTACAGAAAGTATCTCACAGCATCTACTACCAGAAGAATGTCCCCGCCTTTATCCCCAGATTTATTATGATGGCAGAGTGTACCCAGGTGGGTAATGGGCCTTCGCTAGACAGGTGGGAGTGTTGGTTTTAAAACTATGACTACTGTAGATAAAGTACAAATGTTATAAAACATTGTGTCCTGTTTATGACACAAAGTTAGATTTTTGGCATAAAGCATGTTTACAATTAAAGCAGCAATGCGTCTAGATCTGCAATCTAACAGAGTTCAATCACCCCTCCCCAGAGAGGTAATGTATAGCCTCTTCTATTTCAGGGGGCAGCTGACTGAATTTTTATTTTATTTTTAGACAAGCGACATTGTCTCTTTAATGGACATTATGTGTAGATCTAAGCAGCTGTGCAGTATCCCAAAAAGACCTACAAATGGCAGTAGAAATACACAGCTCTTAATGTAAAATGAATGTGAAAAATGTCAACCTCCTACAAAGTGCAAGTCCACTGACCTAATCAAAAATAAATGCTCAGTTTGTGATAATGGTGATGCCTGTATTCATCCACCAATGATTATTTGTATGCTCTATTGCGCCTGTTAATTACATACAAGTCCACCATATACAGGTGAAACTCGAATAATTAGAATATCATGCAAAGTTAATTTATTTCACTAATGCAACTTAAAAGGTGAATCTAATATATGAGATAGACTCATTACATGCAAAGCAAGATAGTTCAAGATGTGATTTTTCATAATTGTGGTGATTTATGGCTTACAGCTCACGAAAACCCTAAGAACCCCAAATCCACAATCTCAAAAAAGTAGATTACATGCAATCAATAAAACAAGGATTGTACATAGAACAATATCGGACCTCTGAAAAGTATAAGCATGCATATGTACTCAGTACTTGGTTTGGGCCCCTTTTGCAGCAATTACTGCAATTACTTTTGCACAATATTCTAATTATTCGCCCAAACTTTCCTCTGCATCCAATTACAATAAATATAATGTTGTAATGAAATGCAAGCACCTAGCATAGCACGCATATTAATTTTCTCTAAATGTAGTTTTCATATTGAAAGGTATCTTTATAACCATATTGGGTTCTATTTGCTAACCATGGAGTGCAGCTAAAATGGCACATTAAGCATTTGAAGGTGCATCTGGTGGTTAGTGACGCGCAGCATCGGTGAGTATCTCCACCAAGCACTATAGAAGTCACATCTCCAAAGGTCACCTTGCAGCACAAAACATGCGACTGCTTATGAGACCCACACAGAAACTGAGGAAAAGTCATTACACATTAATGTCATTCTGAAATCTTCCCTTTACTCCAGTTCGAACGGGATGTGATGGTCTGGAACAACAAGAAATACCTTAGCAAGCCCCTATTGGTTAAAGAGGATGCGGCCATTGCCAAACACCGCCGGTGGTACTCCCAGTTCTACAGTGAAAACAGCCCTAGGCTTACCTTCCAGGAAGATGGCCTGAACTGGTGAATAAAGGGACACTTTCTATGCTCTCTATGTAAAACCTGTGTTTTTTTTGTTTTTTTTCTCCTACTGAAGACTTTATTATAATTTTTGTAATTAATAAGAGCTGTAAATGAAATGTGAAATATTTATTTTTTTTACATGAAGCATTATGACTTTTTGCTTTGCAATAATCCAACCTAGTCATAGGTGGAGGTTCCAGACTGTGGCTATGGCTGATGTGATGGTATCTCAATTGTCAGCATTTAAATATGAATGGCACCAAGGGGGTGCCTTTTACTCACTACTTTGTGTTTTGGATTTTTCTTCTATCAAGCATGAAAAACAAATGTTTAATCTTTTTAGGCAGATTGCTTCAGTAGGACTGTTTCTTGAAACAAGTCCTTCCTCAGCCTTTTTCTGTACTGTATTTGACAGAATGCTTGTCCTCGGTTTTGTGATTGGTCACTGGAAACTGCCAATTACAGAACAACAAGCCGTAACCTCAGTGGCAGCAAAGAAATGGTTGTAGTGCAACTTGCCCCTTTTCCAAGAAGCATTAGCTGGAAACAAGATCAGTATGCAGCACGATGGACAAGAACTATAATCACTATACATACACATACAGAAACATCAGGCTTGAAGTGAGGGCTACTTGAATGCAATTTTCTTAAGCTTTAAGCATTTAATCTTGCATAACTGGTTGATGTCACAGAAGATGGTTTTGGCTACAAGAGGCAGGTGGAATTTTCTTTCCTGATTTTCCTGGTTAACATAATGTTTCTTGTACTCTGCTCATGGATACCATTTTATGACTACTCGTGTTGGGTAAACCAAGCCAAATATTTAAAACTAATTTTTACTCTTCCTTTTTAGACTATAAAAATAAAAGAAAGCTATAACTTTTTGTATCTTTTGGTGGTGGAATTGCTGAAATCAGGTAGACTCAACACTGTTCCTATTGTCTTCCATCAGAAGTGCCTTATTTCTAACCTCTTGTATTCTGTCCTTTCTGGTTATCTAGATTAGCACTTTGGATTCCCAGAATGTAATTATGGAGGAAATGTGGGTTTTGTAATGTTTAGTACTCCAAATATATAAGCCAGAGCAATGCTTGTCAAAATACATAAAATAGTCCATCCGCTTCTGGAATGTGTCTGTCACAGTTTTATTCACATTTATGGGTTGACTACTTGGGCTTCTTAAATAAAAACCCTTCACAACTTGGTTATGTTGCAATTAAACATTTTGGTCTAGAAATGAATTCTTTATGTGCATATATTTAAGCCCATGCCTGTTTAAACTATGGCATTTGCAAATGTGCTCTGTTTTTCTTTGTGCACTAGAGTCAAACAAAATTTCAATTGCATAAACAAAATGCATCAAGATAACTTGCAGTCGATGCTGTATATGGAAACCATGAAACTGGTGCTAGGTTTTTTAACAGCTGAAAGCTAGTTGGAATTGCCTGGAAAAGAGGCATAAGCTAAGATTCTTCAAATTTTGTGCTGTTCTAACTTTTTTCATGACAGTGCATTAATGGCACACAAACATAACAAAGGAGGTGCAAGTACAGAGTGTAAGAAGATCATTGAGAATCGTTCTATATTTTTTTTGTGTGTGTATAGTGCCTTAATCGTGGACAAGCACTATAAAGAAAAAAAATTAAAAGGGGGCGGGGGGGGGGGGGGGGGGGGGTTGGGGGATAAA